TCTCTCTCTCTCTGTCTTTCTTGACTCATCTATCCATAAATGGAGTCTGTTTCCCCTCCCCTATAACTTGCTTTAGCTCATAGGATGCAGCAGAAGTGACACTGCCAGTTCTAGGTCCAGCCTTTGAGAGGCCTGGCAGCTTTTGGAGTAATCCAGCTGCCATGTAAGAATTTGAATACCCTGAGGCCACCATGTCATGAAGAAACCCAAGCTAGCCATTGTGCAGGTGCCACATGTAGGAGGAGCCCCAAGGCACCACCCATGTGAGTGAAGCCCTCTTGGACAGTTCAGCCCAGGTGCAAGCTGAATATGGTTGAGTCAGTGACCCAGGGTGATGCCAAATGGAGCAGAACCACCTACAGCTGAGATCTGGCCAAATTTCTGACCCCCAGAATTATGCTGCTAAGTTTTGGGGTGGGTTGTCATGTGGCAATAGATAACCCAGCAAGAGCCTACTGCATGTCAGATACTACTAAGCTTGCTGCATATGTGATTTCTCAATCTTACACCAATACTCCAAAAAGTAGAGTGATAACCACTAATTTACACACGTGTGAAGTGAGAGCGTGCCCAAGGTCAGTGACCAGGGAGGTGGCAGGGCAGAACACCCTATTGGAGTCCATGTATGTGCATTACACAGTCTGCCTTGGAAAGAAAGACCTTCATTCACCTATTTCCCTGGCCTGGTGGGGACCCTAGGACGGTAGTGCCTAGGACGCCACTGCCCCAAGAGGATCTTGGAACCTACCCTTGGAACAGAGTGTTTGTTATGTTGGTAGCCTCTCCTATGAACCTGGCAACTAGCTGGATGTGCAGGCATTCATGGCAGCTGAGTCTCGGTTGCCAGGACAACCTGCAGGCAGAGTGGGTCCCTCTGACCAAGGTTACAGGGTTCTTTCCACTCAAGTCCTAGATTCTGCTTCCTCTGGCAATCGCATGTCATATGAGGGCAGGCAAACCCCCAAAATTTTAGGGTAAGGACATTAATGGAGACTTCTTCCCTGACTACTTTTCTTCCTAGTCTTTGCTTTGTTCTATACCATAGAGGGCCTCCCTGGTATGTGTGGGGACAAATTTCAGCCACACATACAAACTCGCCCCATATCTGTACCCTCTTCACCAACCAGACACTCTTCTTCCTTACCCCCAGGAAGAGGCTCAGGGTCATTTGGGGAGGGAAATCCTGGGTACTGAAATAGGATTGAGAGGGGGCCTTGGATAGTACTCTTTCTGCAGATCTGAGGCATAATACTTAGCTAACAACACAGCATTGTGCCACTCTTCTCTTCATGTATCTATCTCTTTCAGGGTCCTTGCAGGACAGGAATCTCTAAAATGAATTAAATTTTCACTGGTCTTCTCCAGCAGGCTAATCTGGGGTCTGAGATGCCTTAAACCTGTTTCTGATTCAATGCCATGTAGTTGCCAGAAATATGTCCCGGGGGTCTTGATTAAGAGGATGAGTAAGTCAACATATAGAAGGTAACTGCTCTCCTTTCTGCCACAACTGTTTTTTCTAGGCAATTGAGACTGGCTTTACCTGATCTTTTCACTCTAAATCTGCTTCAGAGATTCTGGCTGTAGAACAAAAGGCCAGGTAGGTGACATTAAGGTGCCACCTTTGCAGCCGACACCCCCTTAATGTTACAGAGTTCATTGGAAACCTCTCTGTTTAACCTGATAGACTTTCATTTCTTTTTGCAGCAGAGAAACCAGGCCTGCCAACAACATTAGACAGCTGATCCTCACTCCCACCCACCACCAAAGAAAATGTGTTTCCCCACTCGGTAAGGAGGAGGGGGAAGCCATCAGCAAGGTACCAGGAGTTCTTGAGGTGGGTTGTTGTCTAGAAACCTGTCTCCTGGTGCTGCCAAACTCTAAGCTTGTTCAGAGTTCTATGTTCTCTGTTAAAACACGTGCATTTTTCTCTTCTTACGTGCATTTTTCTCTTCAGATGTGACCTGAATATATGATAGAACCTTTAAGTGGAAGGGTAGCAAAAGGCAGCAGGGTGCTGTCAGCATGATATCTTTGGAGTGGGACCTAAGATTAAAATTTGGCTTCTCCTACTGGCTGTCAATTCAGACACCTTACTTTAAGTCTCTGAGCCCATTTGGGAATTTATAAAATGGAAATAATGACACAAGCTGTTAGCTAGGTTGTAATTGCTGTATCTCACTCCCTTCCTACTTCTCCCTCCACTGATGGATAGAGAATTGGAAAAGATTTTAGCTAGGGCTTTGTTTCCATGGCAGGGAGGAGGTCACAAGCAAAAAGGCACTCTGAGGACCATGCTGGATCAGCTTTTGTGTGCTCTTTATGGAGGTGGGGACATTTCTAAGACGGTTTTGCTCCCAGGGACCCAACTTTCTTTTAGAGACTGAGACTATTTTTAACTCAAGTTTTAGAAATTCTGCAGGACAGCTGTTTCAGGGAAATATGTAGGCCAGTCTGTGATTTTTGGAGTCATCATTTTAAGGTTAGGGAGTGGGATGGGGGAAGAGAACCAGAATAACTCTGGAGTTTTTGGAGGCATCCACAGAAATCTGCACCTACCCAGCAGAAAGCTGCAACCTGAGTTTACTCAGTGGCCACTCTTGAGTATCTGAAAGGCGCTGAGCAGATGAACATTCTTTTGTTATACTTCAAGTATACTTCAAGCATGTCAGTTTCTGTACTCCTTCTCTCCCATTTGCTATCACCAAATCACAACGAGGAGAAAGCTAATAGATAATGCCTGTGTTGGAGAGGCAATGGGGCAAGAACTTTCTCACACACTGTAACAGCAATGAAAATCAAGACAGTCTTTCTTAAGGGCAGTTCGACAACATCTATTGCAATAAAAAATGGACACTCTTTTGTATTTACTATTTCCACTTTTTGTTATTAGTTTTGATTACAGTAAAATACAAATAACATGAAATTTACCATCTTAATCATTTGTAAGTGTACAGCTCAGTAGTGTTAAGTATAATATGTTCACATGGTTGTACAGTAGATCTCTAGAACTTCACCTTGCAAAATGGAAATTGTGCCCTCTGAACACTAACTCCCTATCTCCTCCTCCTCCCAGTCTCTGGCAACCGCTCTTCTACTTTGTCTCTGTGAATTTGATCAGTACCTCATATAAAAGTGCAATCATACAGTAGTTTCTTTTCTGTGACTGGCATATTTCACTTAGCATAATGCCCTCAAGTTTCATCGATATTGTAGCATCTGTCATTTTCTTTCTTTTAAAGGCTGAATAATATTTCATTGCATGTATTCAACCAACACTCTACTTTTAGAGATTTATATTAAAGAAACCTTCCTACAAGTGTCCAATTAAATGTTCACTTCAGGAGTGTCTGGGATAGTGCATAATTGGAGACAATCCAAGTATCCTGCAGGAGATGGCTGAATACCAAGAATGTGGTTTAGCCTTTAAGAAGACCTAAGTGTGCTGGGATGGAAATATGGCAAAAATCAATGGCTCACTACAAACTCAAGCAACAGAGAAGTCTCTATGGTTCAATTCTTTTTTTTGTAAAAATAAATAAAAATGTAGTTCCAAATTTTGTTGGTGGTGACTTTGAGTATTCTGAAGAGTTAGATTTAAAAAAATAGTATGGATTTTATTTGTGGTCATAAAAAACAGTAAAGACATTTTTAGAAATCAAAATGGAAGGATATAAGATGGAAAATGTTTGTTGCTCAAAGAGGTGGTCTGAAAAGAACCTGCTCCACCCACTCAGCTGTTACCAAATGGCATTAAGAGGTAATATTGTGTGCTCCATGGCAATGGTCACCTGGTAGGAAAGGTTGCTCTTCTGGACATCCATTGAGGTCTCATACTGGTCTGGCTTCTCAGCCAGCTGACCAAAATCCATCTGGTATACATCTCCAGCCACTGGTAAGAGGGATCCAACTCCTAAGGTTGTCCATTATTTACCCCTTAAACTTTATCACTGGATCCTTTTACGTCTTGCTTTCAGTTATCTTGGCTTTACACCTTCTGCCTTGCTCCCTGAGAGCATCCTTGCCCTTGAGTCTCACAACTGATGGCATCTTCCTGCTTTATTCCCTGGCCTCTTTTGCTAATAATGGCCATCATGTATTAAATGAGGTTTTCAGCACTGGCTAAGAGAGATGCTTTAGTACACTTAGTACATTATGCAGGTGGAAACAAGACTCCAAGGGCCCTTTCTAGCCCCGTCCCTTAGGACCTCTACTCCAGCAGTAGCTCACAAGGATCATCAGCAAATTTGTTTGAACTGTAGAGAGGGTAGAAGTTTTCTTGAGGCTACGGACACTTTTCTGTCATCCTCTACTCCACCAATTTACTTCAGTCTTCCTTCAAGCAGATGTTAAGTATGCTTCCAGTTTTCTGGGGTCCTTTATTTTTACCACTGACTTTACCGGTACTAAGGTTGCAGTGGGAGGAGATGGGGCTTCCTGGCAGCTGTGGTTACCTGCTCACTGTAAAGTCTGTTCTTCTGGGTGAGAGCCATGGTGGCGACTGGTTGTCAGGGATCTTACCCACTGGGCTTGTTGGCTTTGGAGATGGACCCCTGGGAAAACACAGGGCTCAGCCACATCTGAGGAAGGGAAGGAATCCCTCAGGTGGAATGTTCCTGATTTCATAAGGGCTGGGGAAAGGAAAGAACTACAGATCAGGTTGGTGACATTTTCCATTTGACTCAGAGTTTCTGGGTCAGGGCAAGGGGAAAAACACTTTATCCCCTCCGGCTGGGGCTGTGAGATGTCAGAACAGCTGGATGAAGGGCAGAAGATGCAGTCTGTCATCCCAGGACTATGCTGCCTGATGCCAAGCTTCGGAGTCCTGGGAAGTGACCGCAGGGCCACTGCCCTTGATCACCAATTCCCATAGCTCATCAAAACTTGGTTCTTAAGAACCCCAAGTCAGGTTAGGGTTTCCAGGGAGACCTGGGATTATAGCTGAGAAACTTTCCTGATAGAACTCTAATAATCTTCCTATCAAGAGCTTTCAGGTAAAATTTCTAAGGATGAAGAAATACTATTAGAACTAAAGTAGACTCTGCAAATGCTGGGTTGTACTTGCTGGCTGAGGTGGAATGTGTCCCAAGGGCACAGCTGGACTGGGGCATGGAGGAAGAGGATGCATGTAGCTGAATTTCTTATTCCTCTGTTCCTTCTTTGCATTTAACTCACAGGCCTTCCCCGCAAAATGCACTGACTGCCTGGGGGTGTCCAGGTGAAATTACAGCCACTGCAGTTTAGTGCAAGTAAATTGCAGTGTGGAAATATATCTAAAGAGTCTTCACCAAGGGACAAACACTGTTTTGTCTATCCTTATTACCGAAGATATTTTAAAAACTAAAGTGGGAGACTGTAATATGAAAGGATCTAAAAATCCTTTTATTGTCCTTGTCCTGATGGGAGTAGATTTATGTGGGGGTGGAGTCCTGCAGTGAGGGGCAGAGGAAATTCTGCTCCATGCAGAGAGACATACTTATTTATTTGGCTTAAGAAGGGAACCAGAGGACTTCTTGTCTAAGGTTGTCACCCACCAAACAATGAGCAGATGTATTAGTTTGCTAGGACTGCCATAACAACATATTGAAACAGACTGGGTTGCTTAAGCAATAGAAATTTGTTTTCTTATACTTCTGGAGTCTGGAAGTCCAAGATCACAGCATTGGCAGGTCTGATTTCTCCTGAGGACTCCCTTCTTGGCCTGTAGATGTCTGTCTTCACCTGGTCTTCTCTCTATGCCTTTGTCCTCATTTCCTTTTGTAAAGACAGTCATATTGGATTAGGGCCTACCCTAGTGGCTTCATTTTAACTTAATTACCTTTTTAGAGACCCTATCTCCAAATACAGTCATATTCTGGGATACTGGGGCCAAGAACTTCAACATATAAATCATGGGGTACATAATTCAGCCTATAACATAGGGTAAAAGTATCAGAGCAGAATTGGTTTGATTGAGTCCATTAGCCTCAGTTGGCAATTACAGAGACAAAGGCCTATAATGGTGCCAGTTTGGCTGAGCAAAGGGGACCCAGGGATTTATGTCATCCAGGTGACTAGAATGCTGCAGGTGCCAGGGGGCCTGGACAATAGGCTGGCTACAGGGCAGCACAAAGGCTGTTCTGTGAGTGCTGCCTCTGCCTCTCTCTTGTGCCTGCTGATCCTACTTCCTGGACATCCCCACCAGTCTCACAGCCTCAGTTTCTCCATTATGCTCAGGACTTCACAATCAAGTCTTGGTGTCCCAACACCTGAGGAACTACTGGGCTTCTCTTCACCTCATGTCTCACTTGCAAACTGAACTCAGTATGCCCCAGACAAAATGCTCTGGCGTGTCCTCCAGCTTTTCTTTCTCATTTCCTGTTTTTCATTAAGTGCCATCTTCCTCTCAGTCAGGAGCCCTACAGGAAGCTAGTTGGACCCTTCAATTAGGCTATGCTCTCCGAGGGCCATGCTGAGGTTGTTTTCTGCCTCATCCCCCATGCCTATCTGTGCAGCCATTAGTAGACTCTAGAGTCTACCTCTGTTTCGTCCCATGACTAAATTCAAACCAATCACCAAGCCTGAGAGATTGCTCAATTTCATTCTTCCTTCCTGCAAACATTTCTCAGGCACTTATTATGTGCTTTAATACCCTTTTATTGACTGAAACTTAGCTGGGTGCTGGGAATGCACACAGTAGGAGATGCTAGAAGTGGTACTGAGGAAATGCACTGCCCTTCCCTAAACCCTTCTTTACATTTCCTACTCAGGTCTTCCCTCTCTCTTGCTTAGGCCACAATTATGACCTTTC